GTTATTAGTCTTTCCTTGCCTTGGTAACTGGATGCCCTTTTTTTCTCTCATCTGACTGCGTAATCTTTGTCTTTAACCTCACCCTCTTTTATATTCTGTAATTTTGCTTGTCTCTTGTTTCTATGATTTGAGTTCAGCTCAGTGCATTGTTACCTAACTTATTAGTCACTATGCATCCAACGCACATCCCATCTTTATTATGTAACTCCCTTACCATTATATGCATACATTTATTTATTATTTTTTTTTAACTTGAACTGCCGGTGTAAAAACTATATAAGCGCAATTTTCTGAGCACTGTTTACTAATTGTGAAACTTTCTGTCAACTGACAACATGTAAAATTTGCAAGGATGTTAATACGTTTCTGTACTTAAACCTGAAAATTTATTTAGGCTGTAAGCAGCTGACGAGAAGCCAACGAAATAAATGATGGTACCATGTTATTCTGCACAAATCAATGTTGTTCTCGCTTTATTCATGTTTCATATGCAGTGTAATTAGATTAGTTAGAATATCCATCCATTGTAAACATTTGAGTAGCTTGAAAATCCCCTTTGAGTCATATGAAAAAGAGAAGACGTTCAGCGAAGAGACTCTTTTCGTTGGCGAATTCATTCACATAGCTGTACAATCGCATTTATATACAATTATTTGTGTGTGTACATGAGGTTTGTCAAGTTTAGATGACTGGTCAGATAATACAAGAATGATCTAATATAGAAACAAGGTTAATTTGATAGCAGCTAAAGTAAGACTGAGTTGGTTAGTAAGTTAGATGACGTAATATAATTGACTAAAATGTTTCCACTTAGGTCAGGGCAAAAACAGAGGTAATTACAGGTAGAGAGAGACTAAGTAGAAGTGGGGTAGAGGATAATGCCATTTGAATTAGAACCGAAATTAAGCAAATAAGTTGGATGATGTAACATGAATGACTAGAAATTGAGCGTTGGTCAAGTCAGTAACAGTGGTAGTTAGGTGCAGAAATTAAATCGGGTGGGGGTAGAGAACAAGAGAGTTGAAAATGCAAAATATTACAATTGAGAAGACAAAATAATACTAATGAAGACTCAGACAAAAACAGTCCATTGTAGGTGTAGTGATTGAACGAACTTCTTCTGTATGCAGAGTTCAGGGCTTAGCAAGTGAATCGCCATTGCTTCTGCAGTTTGAAGAAGTCTGATTCGTACACCTTTAGGAAGACTAATTCTTACTCTGCAGACGACTTTGAAGTTTGTTTGGGGTGCAGCTTGGTGTCCGGATTCTATCAGATGTTCTAAGATAGAGCTGCGGGGACATCGTTTTTCTCCTTTGTAAAACCATGCTGGTAAGTGTTCGGTGATACGTTTGGAAAGCGAACGCTGGGTATGGCTGACATACCTGGCTCCACATGAGCAGCTGAATTGATAAATACACATTGATTAGGCCAGCAGTGTTAGCTTATCCTTCATGTTCACATGAATCATAGGTTTTGTGGAGACGGTTAGTCGTAGTTCAGCTGCGAAGAAGGTCGTCTTAAGTGAGCGCGACAGCCGATTTTTTAATGTTTACGCAGATATATCTCCATTGAATTGAAGGTTCAAGTGGAGTAGTTTTTTTCGGGACGCTAAGCGTGGGCGGTTTTTGTGGTCTAGGATTCATAGATTTTGCAAAAAATCCTTCTATTCAACGATTCTCCACGAGGATTTTCTTGATATTGTCCAGTTCATCTTTTATGGTGGCCAGGGTGCAAATTCTGCGAACCCTGCAGCTGAGTGAACAGATCAGGTTTCGTTTAGTGTATATGGGTACCCAACTGTGAAAGTTAGTAGGCTGTCTTCTCTTTTTCATTGTAAACATGACTGGTAGAATTCAGCCTGACTAGACACACGACACAAGGTATCTAATACTGAAGATCAATCGTGAATCCGGATAGCTCATTGGTAACGTCTTTGATTACAGCATTCATTGAGTGACACGTGTTCAAACCTCAGAAGGAACATGAGTTCCTTCAAGATTGTAGATATGCCTTACTGACCACTGGTGGGTGCCAACTAGTACAAAGCCTAGGTCCTGGCAAAGCTTCCTGCAAATTTCCTCCAACCATCTCGCATGGTAGATTTAATTTTCTTAAATTTCTTCATGAGTGATAGAATTATGTCTCCCGGTCACCATCTTTACATATGTATTGATCATTTTCTATTGACTTGGATTTTGAGCTTTCTGGTCACATGATTTACTTTTTATTAGTTGGTATATTTGGTCTATGTTTACATGTTTGTTAATTGGATTTTCGTTTGAGTACCAGGCTTCTAGGAATTCCCTGGAATTTATATCACTGATGAAAAAGTTTAAATCATTTCACTTTATGCTAAAAAATGCGTTGAATGGTGATGTTGTCCAGAGGGTGGACGACGAAAACTCCGCAACTAAACCAACCAGCTCAGAGAACACTATCAATTGCAAATCATCCACCTGAGCTACAAATCTTCTCTATTATTTCAGAAATACTTAGTTTTGTCGAAAATGTATTACTACGGGAAATATACATCTAATGAGTACAGTTAGTCATTTCTTTTCCTCAATGAGTTCATAGTCTGTCAAAAGTTGACCTTCAAGAACCAATCAGATTTGGAGAACACTACAAAACGACATTCGAAAACAAGGGTAGATAAAGTATTCTACTTATTCCCCTAGATACTTCTTTCTATGAATCTATACTGTAAGTAGGATTAGGGTTTAGAGTTAAGTGTAGACTAAAGAATAGTATCAGGATGGATCGATGGATTCCAAAGCACTTTGATCTACATTCACCTGAATGAATACAATTACCGTGCATGGTCTGATTTCCATTAGGATTATCCTTGGAGTAATTGAGAGACATACTTGCAACGCATAAGAGACTATTATCCAGTGTAGTACCATGTTTGCAGTGTTTTGCGATACATTTTTCTCAGCGATTATGCGAATTTTGTGCATCTTAATTCTGATTGTTTGCTCAAGGTCATTGTGACCTTGACAGTGATAGTTTAAGTTCACCATTTTCTCTTGAAGTGTTAGTTTGTAAGAATTCGATTTATTTTAAGTTCGGTCACGAATTGATGTCAGTTAGAGGACTATTGTAAACGAGGAAGTACTGGACAGCCAGCCTTCTCGTCTTGGTTTGGAACTTACCATCATTATGCGACTACTGGGGTTCGAACCTGAGACCATGAGGTCGTTGACCATTCTGCCAACTGAGCAGTCGCTTTTTGCGGCGATTAAAGGAAAAATTCAAAAAGCCTGGAAGATTTCCTCGTGAGTTGACATCAGTTAGAGAACTATTGGAAAACCAACACTGGAGTAGTGGACAGGACATACATAGGGTTGAATTAATCACAGATGAAGGTAGTATTCCAGTACAGTCTCCCTCCTAGAAGATAAAATCAATTCAGATCACAATATGTGCTTCCCAACTACTCGTATTAATTAGTAGAACATAGATACCATGATGCCTTTTCGTTTCCTTCCATGCCTACCATTCAGGCAGGCGAGTGTGGAAGACACTGACCTTGAACTGTGTGTCATTTGACTCAGTCATGTTTTTTTCTTTTCCACTTCTTTTAAGGTTTTTACGAAATTAGTTGAATTATTTCATATAATTGTCAAAATCTATTCCAATTAGTTGATTTTATCCTACATATAAATAGTTTATTTCAAAAATATACTGAATATTTGTACTAGCTAGATATCGAAACGTTCGTCAACAAATATAGTAATAATAAGACTATCTAAGGTTATCAGTCAGTCAGCAGACTACCTTTAATGTCGTAGAAGATAACCGAAGAGAACGCGAAAACTTAAATCAACCATCTATCTTCCTTCTAATTCTCTATGCTCAGAAATGACAGGACGAAATACTCGTTAGGTGGGTAGTTAGTATGGTGATTTCTAAGAATAACAATAATAATCTACTTTATTCCAAAACGGACAATACTTATAATACAGAATGGAATTCTCAGCGCTTGTCTCAATATTGCATCTGATTTACTCAAAATATAAATAAGATTAAAGTTTAAAACAAAATTAACCAAAGGAATTTGCTCACGTTTACAATATAATGCCAAAAACATTCGAAGTATAAAGTGTGAATAATAAATAATAATAATAATAATAACAGTGAGTTTATTTCAAACAGTATTGTCGATTCAGTTTGGAAATTTTAGCATCTTATAGATTATTGAGTCTAGTGTTCTGTTGATATAACAGCTTGGTGAGGGGAAATAAGAAAATTAACAGTTTTATAACACAGCTTAAATGATGTTCACACTTAGGAAATAATAAACAAATAAAAACAGAAAAATTGAGAGGATTATAAATATAACAAATACAATAACAATAAAGTTTGGTGGTGTATGGGTGGAGGAAATGGTTTATTTAGTAGTGCAAAGAAGGTTAGTTAGTTCATGCCTGGCACTATTTTCATCACATAAAATACTTGCCACTAAATATGGTATAGTGGAATTTTTATTCTTTTTCATACGTGCATAAAGTCTTCTGAAAAGACTTCTTGTTTCACCTGAGGAGGAGACACAAGGTTGGAGCTGCGGGTGCTGCTGTGGGTGCTCACAGACTGAAAAAATTCCTTTAGCAAATTTGTTGCATGACATCAAGTGCCTATCATTGACAATGTCAACGATATGGCCCAATAGGGCACCACTTGCCCTACTGACAGTCAGTCTTCAGAGTTCTACGAAGTGTGACAGTCTTTTTTAAGCAATCCACGAAAGAATAAGGGTGAACAGTGAAGTGTTTCAGGGAAAATAACGACATGGTTGGCTTCTGTGTCTTAAAAATGAGCAGATAGAGTACCAGACTAGTATTTTGAAGGCCCCTATTACGATTCTTGCCACAAATGAAGCTTCTGTTCCACCTCACATTTATCACCCTTTCAATATACATATATATGTATCAAAGAAATCTGAATTCCTCAGTGCTTACAGTTCTCTTGTATTGTCTGCCCTTCTTTATTTAATACAGTGAATTTTGTCAGTTCAACAATCGGTTAGCATCGCTATATCTAACTGATCGTTTATGTGCACTGAGACAAGTACTGCTGAATTCATCATCACTAATTCATGCATTAAAATGTGAGTTATTTTGGTTTTTTTTATTTATTTTATCGTTATTATAGCTTGATTACTCACAGTATTTTTAGATATAACTATGGAATTTTCAACATATGATATCGGTGGGCCAAATTTAGCAGGCCGACCATTGATATCAGATGTGCGTCGGCTGGGGATCGAACCCCGGACCATGTGCATGGTTGGCGAGTGTCCTAACCGTTGGGGAATCCTTTTTATAAAAGAATGGATATTGAACAAAGAATACTCTTTTCGATAACCCCTTAATCATAACGCTCTACAGTTATATATACATTATAGTGAATGAATGAATGAATGAATGAATTAGTGTTATGAACAACATTAATGCCATTTAAATTAACATCGAATCAATAATATTGAAAGATTACAGCTCAGTAGAATCAACATAAAATAAGCTGAATGTCAGAAAAATTAGGAAAGATAATATTACAAATTTATGAACTTACAGTCTCTACTGTAGGCCAGCCAGGGCAGTAGTAGGGGCTGGCTGGACTAGCTTCTTTTGAACACAGAGCACTGGTTGTTTGAGGGGAATTGCAATAGCCTCTGCTGTTTGGAGCATGCAGTGCTTTGATAATTTTGGGAATTTATTAGGCACCCGGTAGATGATGATAGAGAAGGATTCTTCCACGCTGGCTGGCTGGCTTTGTTGCCGGTTTGCACCAGATGGTCCAATATCAAACTGTTAATGGTTTTTACTACACCTTTGCTTAGCCATACTGGGAGATATTCTCGAGAGGGCACGAAAAATCAAGTTTCTAGAGCAACGGCCAATATAACTCGCTCCATCACAAACGCAGTTGAATTGGTAGATACAATTCGAAGTGGTTAGCTAGTCTACGTACTTCATCTTTCAGTCGAGGAATCACCGTCGGTCGTGTAGACAATAAGATTTATTTTTTTTTATTTTATTTTTTATTTTGATTTACAGCTTGATTCCACACTGTATTTTTGGTACAAGTATGGAATTTTCAGCATGGATATCGGTAGCCCAAATTTTGCAGGCCGACCATAGATATCAGGTGTGCGCCGGCGTGGGCTCGAACCCCGGACCATGTGCATGGTCAGTGAGAGTCCTAACCACTGTGTCACCGACGAAGTTCGCCAGCATTATAAGTTCTTTGAAGTGATTTTCCTAATTTCATCGTAATTATCTCATTTGGTATATCGTCCTTGAATTGTAGTCGTATATAAAGTGACTTCTCGTTTGCAGATAGTGAGTAGTCCTTTTCCGCTTTCTTTGTCATGGTTGAAAATAATCTTTATTTGACTGGCATAAACCACACCCTAGTAGAGAAACTACTCGAGGTGAACTGCGGAGACATTAATCTGTGTCCACGGTCATTATATGTCAAATTTCAGCCGTAATTCGCTAAACTGACATGAACGATAATGGTAACTTCCTTTAGGGTTACATAACTTAATCGAAGATAATAACGGGTTGATATGACTAGGATTAGTAATCAAGGTGCCACTAGGGTTCGATTTATTATTGTTGTTATCGTTAATATTCCTTCGCATTCTCAGTGGAATATGGGGCCTCAAGAGCAAAATGGCACTTCACTCTGTCTTTCACGGTCGTTTTAGGCTGGTTCCACGCTTTCGCTCAAACCTTTCATCTTATCCTCACACAATCTCATCCATACAAGTCACCTTTGAACGCTCAGCTTGACGTTTCCCATTCGGGTTCAACTCGAGGTTATGACTGATGCGCGATAAATACGTTCTGGATTGGTTTGTCCTCAAAGATTCTTATTGCTCATCATTTATACGCAGTCATTTGATTTTCACTTTTGAGCAGGCGAAGACAGCTGTTGATGAAAGTCTGTTAGACATGCTTTTCATAACGCGTGAGTCGAGTCTCTAAACCCCTCCCTATAGAAGAACTGACTTAACATTGGTACTTAAAAAAAAATCGAAATTTTGTTCGTTATGCTGGGTGCAGAAGATTTCTAAATTGATTTCAGAATAATGAATAATTTAATAGTTCCCATTGTAGCATTAAGAACACAATATTCAACGAAGGAACTCTTTTCAACAATGAATTTATTATCAAGCTGTACAATCGTATAAATATGGGTTTTTGTATTAAGAAATTATATCCGGTGAGGGAATTAGGTCAAAGGTGTGAATACATGAAATAATAATAGTATGAAATGCAATTAAAATATTTGTGATTATGATCATAGTTAAATGTCAACTGGCAAGTGACCAAACAATTGATGTCATATATAGAATAATACATACGACGGGTGTATAGATGTTAGAAGGGGGTACATAATTATAGGATAAGTAGACTAATACAAAGCGTTACATAACATGGTGTGAAATTTGATAAGATATAATTCAATATTGTAAAAAAAATTTAAAAGTCGATAATTTTGGGTTTAAAATGACAAGTGGGTCAAATGGAAAAGATTCAGAGTGATAGTAGTAATAATAATCGTATTAATGAGGGGAAGGTACATAGAATGATTAAATAAACAAAATAAATAAATGTCTATTCCTCCACGACCAAGGCAGAAGTAGGGATTGTGCATACTTCTTGTGTGCACAAAAACCTGTCTGGTTTAAAGTCATGAATTGCCAAGGCTTCAGCTGTCTTTAGAAGTCTGTAACGAAAAAACGCGGCCAGAAAGTTAGCATGGATTCTATATATGATCTTGAAATCATGATCAGGCTTGACAAAGTGACAGAAGTTGATCAGGTGTTCCAGAATAGAGCTTCACACACACACCTCCTTTCTCCCTTGTAAAACCATGTGGCTGGAATATGTTCTCATATCCGTGTGGAAAGCGGCGTCCTCTGGTTACGGCCTATGTGCCTTGCTCCACAACAGCAGGTGAACTGATAGATGCACATGAAGGCGATTAGACGGGGAAGCTTATCTTTTACAGAGGTAGAGAACAACTTGCGGCTAGTGAACGTCAAATACAGAACCAATAAAACTCCGTAATGAGGACACAATAGAATGTAGAAATCCTCTATGATCGGATTATTTTAAGGCGTTCACTGCTGAAGAGTCTTAGACTAGGACGAAAAATCCACCAAATGCCTCTTGATTTACGATTATTCTTCCTCTGGTCGACAACACTGGAACTTCATTACTTAGATGGATTCATGTCTTCAAGCGATCATTCTTTCTTGAAATGTAGTATGACAGATTGTAAATTTTCACTACTAAAGTCGAGTTTCTATTTGCCTTTCACAGGTGATGAAGAATACATTGGTCGAATATATTTAGATGCAAAAGAAACTCGTGATCTACCCGAGTACTGGAGGAAGCAATCAAAAAGCCCATCAATTGAAAAGTATGAAAAGTATTTTTATGGAGTGTATTTCTTTTGTTAATTTATTTTGTCTACTTATAAGTAGGTAAGATGTATATACCAAAATATTTTACCATATATGCAAACATGAGTATTCTTTTATTCGTTACTAGGGCTAACTGAATTCTGTGTGTGCTTGGTTTCAGTGTATTCACCAAGCCAGGTGACTTGTTAACAACGAACACACTGAACTGATGTTATTAATCATTATTATTCTCTTGGGTTCCGAGTGGAATATAGGACTTCAACATCACATTTCCATTTCCACCCTGTTCTACACAGTGCTCTCTGGCTGGCTTTAGGATAACCTATAGACTCTTATCTCCTCTATACACGATCGCCTCCATATCACCCTTGGAGTCACTCCTATCTCGTCGTCTACTTGTAGTGTTCCATCTGAGGAACTGGGGTGTGATATCACTGATATAGTGAGTCATCTGAATTGGTGAACTCACAGTAAACTTAACCCACAGACTTTAATGAGAAGCAACATCAAGGTACAGAATACATGATACTGGTTACTTTTTACAGTCATACAGAAGATAAGTCGTGAGTCCGAAGGCCTCAGCTTTAAGGTCTCTTTTGAACAAGTAGTACCTAACATTTCATTCAACAAAGTGGTCCCATTTTCTTCAAAGTGATCAAAAAATTAGAACAAATCCTAATCTATTATGAGTTAGATGTTTTAATTGGCATGGATGAAGCATTTGTCTCTCCTAGTGACCTCGGCTGTGACAGGCTGTCCCCGTACATTTCCCTCATGATTAAATTCATTTGTATGCGTTGGTGACACAGAGGTAAAATGCTTGTCAACCATGCTCCATGTGGTTCGGGGTTCAATTCCCGGCTACCAACGCACTCCTTTACCTCGCTAAGCCAGTAATAAGACTGGTGAGAAGAAAGAAGGTTAGGCATGAGGCCAGCAGCGATTCCATCCCGTAAAAATACACAAACACTACTGCTACTGTAATTCCAAAGCTCTAGCTTGAAGCACTATGTTCCACTAAGAATGTGAAGGAATAAAAGCAAATATACATTTGTGTTGTAGGTGACCATCTCGTTGACCTAATCTTTGGGTGCAGCAGGTCAAATGTGAGGAAGAATACTCGCCAGCGATGACATTGGCTAGTGGTCACGCTATGCCCGTGCATGAATTAGCAGAAGTTAGAATTCATGGGCTGGCTGGCTAGCCATTGGATCGGGTCCCAGTGGCTGATGAATGGTCTACGACCATGCTCGCCTTGTAGCCAGAAGATCACTGGGTTCGAGCCCCGTGGTGTCTGTGTGTGTTTACATACTGATGAGGAGTCCAAAACTGGAAAGAAACAACTGTTTGACCTATGTTTCACCTAGGCAGCATCAAAATATGCGTATTTCACACAATCCAGGCAGACAAAATAGTTTTTATGAGTATATCAGGCAGTTAAATACCGAAACTTTGCTTGGACACTAATTGGCAACCAGTATCATTCGTCTAGTCCTTTTTCTGTCGCAGACTAAATTCCATCAGTCAAGTTTGCACTGTGGCTACCATGCGACTAGATGGCTCATCATCATACCACACTCTCAGTTGTTGTTATTTAGACGATTGGAGGCAATCGACCACGGGAAGCCTTGCCCGGTCCTAGTTTTCATGCTTGTTGAATGATTCTTTACAGTGAAACGTGCATGCAGTCTTGAAGGAACTCACGCCCCTCTTGAGATTCGAACTCGTGTCAACCAGTGCCGGATGTATTCAAAGACGTCCCCAGTGAGCCATTCGGACTCCAAGACAATGAAACTCTGCAATGGTTATACAGATTCATCCTCAATCAGCCATCAAGATGATCCTTAACAGTTACAAACAATACTGACTGACGAAACTGGCTGACTGTAGCGGTGTATGTCATGAACTAGCAGATGTTATGATTCATGAATCATCGAATTCTGAAGGTTCAGGACAGATTTCTTACAAATATACTACTGAAAGATTACAAAGTAGTATAAAACAGCTTTGTGTTGATTTACTATCAGTCGGTTAATGACTCTAAATCATGCTGATTTTATGTTTGTCTACCTTCTTACTTTCCTTCATTCTTCTGTTTTTCAGATGGAAGATACAACAAGCCTTTTCTTTTCATCATAGTGGATTAATTCGATTTTACAATTTCACCTCGCCTGCATATTCGTAAGTACACAATAATAAATGATAAAAACAAATCATTTTTTTGTTAAACTTTATCAGATTGAATGGAAGATTTCATCATGAGCTGACAGTAGTTAGAGAACCACTGAAAAACCTGGGAGTACTGGACAGCTGTTTCGTCCTAGTTTGGTACTCTTCAGCAGTACGCACCAACCATAAGGGTTCGAATCCAGGGCCTTCTGGTTACACAGCCAGCTCTTAGACCATTGAGCCAATGGGACCCGATCTAATGGTCCTTGAATTCTAACTCATCGAAGAAGACATTACGAAATGGTTGTGCTATGTCGTGCGTGAATTGGCAGAAGCTAGAACAGATGGATTGGCCAGTGGATCGAGTCACATTGGCTCAATGGTCTATGAGCTCACGCTGTGACCAGAAGGTCCTGGGACCGAGCCCCAGTGAGTGCGTACTGATGAAGAGTCCCAAACTAGGACACGGGAAACAGCTGTCTAGTACTCTCAGGTTCTTCAGTGGTTCTCTAACTGACGTCAGCTTATGAAAAAATCCTCCATTCAATCAAAACAAAATCCCTACAAAATAAATACTTGAAAATTAAACTATTAACTGATTAATTTTCAAATATGTTATTTTAATTGTATTAAATAATTGATTCATGAAAAAATACCTATTCGAACATTAATAGACAGAATACCAGTAGAGTTTAGTAATTCCATTATGGGTAAAATCTGTTTTCATAAAGTATCAGTGTTATACAGTAATGCTTACTGATGACCTGTCGAGCATAAGTTATTGCTCATAATCATATCAAGGTACTACTCACACAAGTTTATTGCCTCGTTTATGTAATTCCATTATTTTTCATTGCTTGATTTGATGATTAGTAGTAGCATTCTCCATATTTCCGGTATGAGTGATGAGTCATTCTTATTGCATGTATTGGGTGTAGACTGGATGAACAAGGATTCAGTAATCAAGCTCTCTCTCTCTACCTCCACTTATCTATATTACTTCTTAGAATTTCAACCTTCTCCCATCTAACCTATTGTGTTGTTGTGTGTTAATGCGTGAAGTGCAACTGCCACTATAATAATGGTAGATCCCGTTATCCAATGAATAGTACGCGATCATAGATGTCTGCGATCTCTGTCTCACGTTAGGTGGTTTAATAAGGTAAGTAATGTTGACGTTAGGCGTAGAGTGTTGGGCAAAGAGGGAAAATCAATCGACGAGGCTATAAAGTTACATAGATTGAGATGGCTAGGTCACGTGCTGCTCATGCCTAACCATCGCCTCCCCCGACGGGCATTACTAGCTGATATAGGTGCAGGTTGGAAAAGAGCCAGTGGTGGCCAAACAAAAACATGGCCTCATCAATCCATGAAATCCTTGACAGTTAAACTGAGTCAGGTAGAGAGATGCAGACTCCCGGGTTGGGGCCCTCAAGACTCTAGGAATCAATGGCTGGAGACAATAGGTGACATGGCTCAAAATCGTTGTCAATGGCCAGCGCAGATGTATTCAGTCTCTGTAATCTTTCACATTCCTTTCTACCATTACCCATTCTGTTTTACTCTTATACTTGTCAAACTCTATTGATTCTCTTCAGTCATCTTCTTGTCTACCTCTGTGTGCTATTTGGAACGTGGCAACTCGAACTTCTGCACTTCGGTGCGAAGTTCTATGTTGAATCCAGACAGACAAACAGACGCGTTCTAGGTCATTGGTGCATTCTCATTCCCTGATCCCTATACTTTAACGTGACCAGTATATATTTAAATCTTAATTTCTCAATTCCTTTAGTTCCAGGCGGAACCATAATTATTCAAACTTGAATTTTCAGTAGCGATGTTGTTTATTACGCTTTGAGATCACCAGACTTACTCGCAACCTAGACTCCTCCTCCTCCTCCTCCTTCACTTCTTTAGACAGCCAGCAATGTTTCAACCGCAGGTGAGCAGATAGCACTGATGAAAATGTTAAAGTCAGCCAGCCAATGATGATCGGAAAGGCAAAATACGCCTTCATCAACCTGAGACCAGTTTGGAAATCTTCCACACGCACTCAACATAAAGAACAATATTCGCATTTTCAACACTAATATCAAGTCGGTTAGCCTGTTCTATAGGGATGAGAAACTTACACTGCGTGCAACGAAAAGGATTTCTATTAGGCTAGTGAATACTTTCATCAACAGCTGCCTGTTCACTTCACTGGCTGGCTCCAAATGAAGATCAAATCACTAGCCAGAAAGAATTCATGACAAGAAACTATGGGGTGGAACAAACCACAAGACAGGAGTCGATCGCTTAACAAATATGTAAAAGAAAATATAGACGGATGGATCGGGGTATACGCCGCTGAGGAGGCCGTCGAATGACGTCACGTACAGTACAGGCCATTGCTCGAGTAGAATACAAACAGGAAGCGACGAGCAGGTCGTCAATGTGAGGGTGACATCGAGGAGATCGTGTGGTGAGGTGGAGACAAGAGAGGTTGGGCAATCATGGACGCAGCTGAAGAGAACAGCACCAGATAGAACAAAGTGAGGATGTGTTGTCGAAGCCTTGTATTCCACTAAAGGACCCAATGGAACAATGATAAATAATAATAGCCCCTTTCTTGAACTTACCATCATCGTTTAGTAAACTAGAACAGGATTAAGAGTGAGTAGGCCATGAACCCTTATCACAAGCAGTGACTAATCTCCATTTTCTGATTTGTATTCTTGACTCTTGAAAACTTCGTTTTTACGCTGACACTAAGTCAATTCCTTTTCATCCTAGTTGTATGGTTACGGTGAATGGTGATTAGTAGTGAAATCCAGGATGCGCACTTTGTCCTATATGTGACTCGTCATCTGAATGCGCCTGCATTCCTCAGTGAGTGATGATAATCCTACTTGGACCATAATACTTAGCAGGAATACCATCACTCACTGGGACAAGGCAGATACATCCAAATGATGGGTCACAAATAGGACGAAACGCTCACCACAGATCCCATCATTCACCAAATTACTTCAAGTTAATCATCAGACATCGTGGGAACATTTGCACAAGGAGTCGACATATCCAATGTGGCCAAACATTTTGAAACTGAATTAAAAATAAATAAATGGGTACAAAATTTAAAAAATAACATAGCTGAAATTTGATTGTTCGCCACTACTATTAACCAATCAACACTCATCTGGAGGAAAATCAATGAATTTTATCGTTCCGTTCGTTGCTTGTTTGATTTCTCAAAGAAGAAGCTCTTTGTTTTGAGTCTACGGAAGCGTATTTACTATGATTTTTTTAATACTAGCATTATCATTATTATTATTATTGTACGTAACAGTTACACGGAAAAATCGATAATCAGATAAAACTGAAGCAAAGAGAGACAATCCAGCATAGACTGTTGGGAGAAGAACAAGTTATGATTTAGTTCTCTTTTGTAGCAGAAATGTATAGAAAACATGGAGAGAAGTTGTACAATCACATCTATCTCATGTGATCGGATTTCTATACATTCTTTGAGACAGAAAGAGAGAAAAGTGTACATTACTACTGTATTCACAATAGGCGAAATCAAAGAGAAAGCAAAAAATTATTTATTGTTCTATGTTGTATATATAATTGTGAAAATATTTTGCATTTTTATCAATCACACTGGACAGTAGTCTGATTTTGTTCAGTCTTGTATAGGTAATTCAGATGGAAAAAAGAGTTACAGACTGACCCACAGATAGACGGATAGATAGACAGGCAGCTGGGCGACCAAAACAGACTGATTGATAGGCAGATTGGCATAGGGATTAACATTTAGGGCATATTTTCGATTGATTTCCAGATTTATCGGCAGCTTTAGACTTTAGTTAAAGAAACACCTAGAAATCAGAAAGTACTGGATAGCTGTTTCGTCCTTATTTGGCACTCTTCATCAGTCTGCATCCGTCACGCCACCAGGTAATGAATCGAGAACCTTCAGGTTACTAGGTGAACTCGTATACCATCTAGCCAATGGAACGGAATACAATGGCGCATTAATTCTAACTTCTGCTGATTCGCCATGTATCCCAAATCACTCTTGGAATCAATCCAGTTCCTGAAAATCAAGATTTCAAAATAAACCTAGTGTTAACCAGTGATTGACTGCATAAGGACGTTGCCTAAATTTCTAATGTGATTTTGCTACCATTGGGGTCCAATAAGTTGGATATCAGGACGTTTACCGACCAGTGACTTTGGCTAACAGTAGTGCAATATTCCACCAAGTGGCCGAAATATCAATCTTATGCAAGTTCGCCTTGTAAGCTGAAGGTCCTGGGTTCGACCCTCAGTGGGGTGATGGGCGCAGATTGATGAAGAGGCCCAAACAAGGGCGACCTAGCTGTCCAATACACCATGGTTTCTAATGGTTCCCTAATTGACGTCAATTCATAACACAGAAATCTCTCAAGATTCGGATCAAGGCATAATCGAGGAAACTTCAGTATAACTGAAATGATGTGATTTCTATAAAAGCTCTAATTAGCGTATTTTCGTCTTATGCTTTATTCTATTTATACTTAATAAATCAATATTCAATCACTTTGTAGATTAGTTAGATACTTTGTGTAACGGGTAAAACTGACTCGTTGTGGTATAAACGCAGAGAAACGATCCCTAATTCACACTGTATAGCTATCCGAAACTTCCTTGAGATAAACATACACTCCAAATACAGCAAAAAGATGATTGTTTGTGATTGAAATCTATGTGTAGTAACCGAAGAAGATGAATTAAGCATTGTATATGATACCTTGGTTGAAAATAGCTATCTAGACAAACTTATCAAGAAACACATGGCATGAAAGAAAGCGAAGAAGGACTATTCACTATCCGTAAACAAGAAGCCTCTTTATGTATACGAATGCAATTCAAGGGCGATATATCAAGTGAAATAATTAGGAAGAAATTAGAAAAATCAGGTTAAAGAACTTTTAATGCTGGCGAACTACACATCTTATTGTCTACACGACCGATGATGCTACCTC